TCTGAAAAGGTGGAAGTATGAATCCTCCCACCACACTTGTGGTGCTGTGTTCCGTCCACATGTGGTACACCACCAACCAGCCAGGGGGCCAAGCAGGCAAGCAAGTCGGGCAACGAGAGGGCGACAAGGGCGACAAGGGCGACAATGAAAGGCTTGCCTATCTACCTACCTAGGTAGGTATCTCTTTTCGACGCGGTGTGGTCGATAGACTGCAACAACGGGACTACAGTACATGCGTAGTGTGCATACCGGTATCCAGCAAAGCAAAAGCAACCAAGCAGATGCATATGCACATGCACATGCACATGCATGCGTATGCGTATGCGTTGTGCCGCTCTCTCCTCTCACCTCTCTCTCTCTCTCTCCCTCTCCCGACGCGTCACTGGTTACAAAGCTCGCTCGCTCGCTCGCTCGCTCGACATTTCCACCAGTGAGATACGGAGCTCGTAACTGGCTGCTTGGTATTCGTATCAGAAGTTTGACGCCCCGGGTCCGGGCCTGCTGCAAGTTCAGCCTGATGAGGGTTCGTGGTTAAAATGCGCCCGAATGGTGAGCTGCTCGATGGAGGGGCACAGAGGGGGGACGGAATAGTACAAGGAAAAGGAAGGAGATGGCAACAATGAGCTCGAGCCGGGCTGAGCTTGGATGCGGAAGTTCCGGCGTTCAAGATGGGTTGTTTGTTTGTTGTAGTGCTGCACTTGAAGGTGTCTCTGCACCTGCAAATGTGTTTCTGCTCAGCGGCCACGAACGAAAGAACGAAACTATCTAAAGTGTGGTATCTCGGGTGCTTGAATCACAGGCAATGTCATCATCATCTTCCGTCTATCGGGTCCCTTCCCAGTCAGTTGATCGATCCGTGCATGATTCGTCAATGCTGGGGACATTCGTTCATTATGTCGTGACGCGTCCAAGGACTGTCTCACTCCATCCGTCGTCACCTCGTCTCACCATTCGTCCCATCATGCACTGTTGTGGTGCCCCTGTCTCAACCCTTGTGGATATCATGTTTCTTGTGTTGCCTTTGCGCCATGCTCATGTCCAAGGCACAATGAATTGCGTGGCGTCCATCACTTAGTGCATACTCTTCAAGTGCTCCACCAGGGCCTGCACCTGCTCACGAACCTCGTCGGTCAACTGTTCCTCTGGTGCACCAAGCACACTCATCATGATGGGCGCCAGTTTCGGGGTAAGTGACTGGATGGTCTGGTCTTGGTCGCGATAGAGTTGCACAATCATTGTCCACAAGGGCTCGTTCTCTTGATAGTCTTCCTTCAGGGGCAAGATGCCACTGTTGACAAGGGCCGGTAGGACTTGCTGGATGGGTACCTTGTCCTTGTGCTTGAGAATCAACCGCGACAAGCAACCTGCGCCGTTGTCCTGACAGCGGCATTCGGTGATGCGCAGGATGGTTTCAAGTTTCGAGAGAATCTGAGGGTATGCCTTGACGATGGTGGCGTCGTCTTGAGACTTCTCGACGAGCCGGCCTACGGCATAGGCGGCGTTGGATTTCGTCTGGGGATCTTCGTCGCCAAGACGCTTGAGAAGGACGTTCAGCATTTGTGATGTGTAGGGTGTGACTGCGCCATCCATGCCCGTGATGATCTCGGCGAGGACGCCACAGGCCGACGCACGCCCTAAGGCTTCACCGCTGCTTGCGTATCGCAGGATTTGCTTTTCAAAGATCTTCCAGAGTTCGCCAAACGTGGGGCCGAGGGCAGCCGCGAGGCCTGAGACGACGTCCATGGCACTGTCAACAACAAGCCATTCCATTTCTGTGGATTCCACATCTTCATCATCTACTTCTCCTTCCGCCATATCGATTTGACAGGCGTGTTTCTTGGTGATGAGGTAGGTGACTGTCTGGACAATCTTGCTGAGGACGTCAGGGTAGGAGAGGAGTGAAGGTCCAGTCATCTTGAGGTTTTCTGAGAGGGCTCTTGAGATTTCTGTGACGGTGGCACTGCGTCTCAAAGTCAGCTTTGGTTTCTTCATTTGAGGAGATGCTAAACTATGTGCAGGATTGCGACGTGTTATCAGAGGGTTGAAGATCGTTTTCACCTCATGCACCACTTGGGTGTCAGAGTGAGCTGGGTTAACGAAGGAGTTTCATCATGTGATAAGAATTGTACGCCGAACAGAGACAAAAGGTCAACTTACGTGTCGTCTTCCTCGGGCCAGACGTTCAATGTCGCTGCCATCAAAACCTCTCCAAGCTTCTTCAACTCCTGTGTTGGTTCGACTGCAAGAGGTAGACCAGGCTTCCATTTCTGTAGCTGGCCTGACTCTTCGGAGATATCGTACAGTGCGGCGTACGCACGGTGTAGGGTGCTGATGGTCGCCTTGCGGACGTTCTCGTAGCTGTGTTCGGCAAGAGGTAGGAGCTTCTCGATTGTTTTCTCAAAGTATGGCAGATATGCCTTTTTGGTGTTGGAGACGACATCACCGATAACCTCAATGGCAATCTCCTTCTCAAGGGCAATGGGAGTGACGGTTGCCAGGTCACCCCAATCACTGTCATCATCGTCATCGACCTCAACATCCTCGATGTCGCCATCTTCATCGTCAGAGTCAGCTGCAGCGACCTTGACCTTCCTCCCTGCAATGGTGACCTCTTTGCCGAGTAGGTCCTTCGCGCTATCACCGAGCTCAACTTCCAGGTCCGCCTCTTCCTGGTCGATGCAGTCAAAGAGACCCTTCACGACGCCGTCCAAGAAAGGGGCAAAATCTTCTTCGTATACTTTCGCCAGAGAACCCCACAGAATATATGTGCTCTCTTTGAGTCTGGAGTGGTCAAGTTGCAAGGCTTCTCCACTGGTTTGCATGAGCGGCTGGACGAAATCTTTGAACTCGGCCGGGCCAACAGCGACAGCCATCTCACCCATAGCATCGGTGCAGCTGGCACGAAGATTGAGTTCTTCTTCGCTCTCCTTCTTTGTGATATACTCTTGCATGGCATGCATCGAGTCGTTAAGGTACGGGAGGAATGGTGCTTCGACCGTTGAGGCTAAGGAGCCTAAGGCGCCGGCGGCGAGGGCTTTGATCTTGTAGTCGGGATGCTCGAATAAGCGCTGTAGCAGTTTCGCCAGTTTATCCAGGTACGCCACGGCATTTTCTGCATCCATTCCATCAATGACTGCGTCGACTGCGCTTGTCGCAGATTTCATGATATCGACATTGGGGCCTTCCTCCTCGCCCTTGTATGCGCTCATAGCCAACGTCAAATTCTGAATGAGGAGCGGCATCAACTTCTCGTGTTCCTTGCCAATGTCATCGGGCATATCATCGGCAAGTCTGGCCGTCGTCTGCAAGGCGGCCTGTCTCACAACAACCTCCGAGTCTTCCAGAAGCGTGAACAGAATTGGCAAGACCGAGGACAACTGGGTGCTGAGGAAGTCGGGCGCTCCTTCAACAACCATACCAAGAGCCAAGATACCAGCCTGTCGTTGCTTGGGATTGGGACTCTTGGAATATTGGGGTAAAGCATTTAGCAGGGGGACGACGACTTGGTTCGATGGGAGACTCTGAGCCATGGTGTCAATCAAGCCCAGGGCTGAACGAGCAGGGGTGATATCATCGTCATCTGCAGAGGCATCGTCGATCTCGGTGACAATCTGCAACATGCTCTTGACCAGATTTTCGCCTAGCTTCAGACCCTGGACACGGAGTCGTCTGTAGATGACACATTGCATCAAGAAACTGATAGCCTGGGATCTTGTATCCTCGGAGAGATTGGTGTTGGTTGCAATTTCGTTCATGAACATGACCAGGTCCTTGAAGTGTTTGGTCATCAGTTCGAAATCCGCGGTCAGCAGGGTATTGAAGACTTCGAACGCGAGCATGATCTGGTCCTCTTTGCCCGAGTCAATTGAGTCTTTCAAGACCGCGACCATCGATGGGAAGATGTTCTGGAAGGTCTTGACTGAGGCTTGATCTTCTTCGGTATCAAGGACCAGCGCCATCTTCGAGACTGCGAGCAGGGTGTTCACTCTGACTTCAAGACTCTCAGGGTCTTTGATGGTGTTGCTGAAAAGTGCGAAAAGCTCTTTGAATTTTGAACTGAAGCCATCTCCCATTGTCTCTAGGATGCTGTAAAGCACATACACGCCAACTGCGCGTTCGGCGGCTGTGGAACTGGTGGCAGCTTGCTGCAACATGCCCGGCAACTCACGCCATTCGCCATCGTCGAGATCGATCTTCGCAATGCTGCTGATCAGGCGGGACTGGGAATGTCGGACGAGAGATGACGACTCGGCGAGCGTGGCTTGAAAGAGTTGTGATCTTGCCTGTTGGCGTTGATTGTTGGCAATCTTGGCCCAGTGTTTTGTCACCAATGGCTTTGCTTGAGTAGCAGCCAGTTGTCTCAGGTCTGCGCTTTCATGTGAAATGGCAAGGTGAATGAGGGCGAGGAGGGACTCGGGCTGCTTGTAGAATTCGTTCTGCAGCACCGCGGTGGCAGCCTTGACATTGCCCTTCTTAGGATCTAGGACAATGGAGAGCTGCTCCAGGAACTTTTGTTGGTCCATTGCGCAGGACACTGGCGCCTAATGTACAGAAGCTGTAGACAATGTGCGAACGCAGAAAGAATTTCCAGCACAGTCCCAGTTGTACACTTTTTCCTAACTCAGTGGGGCATCGTTGCAGCGACTTTTTCTGCGAAGGGCAACTTATCCGAGTCTCCGCACCCAGCGACTCCCGCAGTTTTCCCACAAGACGGAAGCGAAAGCAAAGAGACAAGAGGCTACACGGTACACATACAACTCAAAAGTCGTAACCGATCACACAATGCCTGACTCTTTACCTGATGCTGCAAAGCCCATATTGAGACCGAGCAGACGGTTCCACGTCAGGGACAAGAAATCATCTTCATCGTCTTGATCCCACAATGCTTGTCGCGAATACCTTCGTATGGTGCCGTCCATCTTGGGGCTATCCGCTGAAGATCTTCCGGCGACTAAAGCACGATATGACAGCCTGTAGAAGCTACCAGCTAATCGAGGAGCATGCACTTCCTCTTTTTTCCCAGAAGCATTACTACCCAGTCAGACCTGGCGACATCTTCAAGCAACAATATCGAATCATTACCAAGCTGGGCTATGGAGCATACTCTACTGTTTGGCTTGCCCGAGCTGAGAAGTCAACAGTCCGCGCAAGATTACAGACAAGAACTGGCTCCTAGATAGATCGGAGCAATACGTCTCACTCAAAGTCTGCATTCAGGACGAAACAAAAGTATCACCAGTCATCAATGAAGTCAAGATGCTGCGGCACGTGAAGAAATTCGGCGAAGAAGCTGATCACCCGGGCTTGGACTTTAAGCGGCTTGCCCGTGATATCTTCGAGATTGAGGGAACACACGGTCGTCATTACTGTATTGTGACGAGTCGCAAAGGTAACAGTCTTCGCACATTACAAGAGACCTTCGCAAATGCAGTCTTTCCAAAGATTTTGGTAAAATCCATGATACATCGGTTATGGTTTTCTGTGAATTGGCTACACGCTACTTGCGGTGTCATACATACTGGTTTGTTCACATTGCGAGAGCCCCTCGATGATTATTCTCTTACTCTATGGAAGATATTTCCCCACAAAATGTTTTAACGGCGGCTGAGGAGGAGATCTTCACAGAAATTGAAGAGCAGGAATTGCAAGATCCTAGTACACCAGTCATGAGTAATGGCGCTCCCGTTTACAAGACACGAGATACTAATCCTACGCTCTCCGGCATCCCTATCCTTATTGATTTTGGACAAATGCGGTTATCTAACTGCATGAACAATGACTGGTGGATGTCCGATTTATACCGAGCTCCGGATGTGCTTCTAAAGCTTCCTTGGAGCTTCCCTGTTGATATCTGGTCTGTGGGTGTCATGGTGAGTAGAACGAAGAGTTGTCAGGTCCAGCGAACCCTTGCTAACAAATATATGAGACGCTCGAACTTCTTGAAGGGAGAGATCTCTTCGATCCAATTGATCACGTCCACAATCAATATGTTCTCCCGCTCGCTTGTCCCAGTATATTGGTCATCTTGGCCTTCCACCTCTTGCGATGATCAGACGAAGCCCATTTCTTCAGACATACTTTGACGAAAATGGTGATTACCCCTTGTTTCATTCTTCGGGCAACGCACTGAGCTGGATCCTTGTGTTACGCGGCGACTGACGATTGATTATCATAGGCAACTGGGTATCTGATCCCCCTATTCCTGAAGCCTGCTTCGAGGACTTTCTCAATGCTATTCCTCCCGGAGAGGAATATTAGATGTTTCTGAGGTTTATACGAAAAATATTGACCTGGGACCCGGAAGTCAGAAGCACATCCTCCGAGATCATTCAAGACGAATGGCCCATGCGGCCTGCTGAGGACATGATATGATACGTCTCTTCATCGGAAAGGTCAAACACGAGGGATCTGTTCTAGCCATCTGAGCATTCCCAGCGATTCTGCATTCGGCACTATGTGGAGATTCGTCGCAAGTCAAGACTGGTGAAAGTAGCCCCGACAAGGATAACAAGTCCTGGCACATATGCGTGGGAGAAGAAAGATCTCAAGCAGGAATTACACGATTGCTGAAGGACCAACCAAGCGGACTCTGCAGTAGGGAACCGGAACCAGAGCTTCGTCGACGCTGATTCGTCGCACGTACAAAGACGCGTAGTCTTTTTCTACCCGATGGCTGGGGCATCGATGGTGCGAGGTGTTGGCCATTCACGTCAACTCCGAAAGTCGAGCGAGGTTCATTCACTTTCCCGTGACCCGAGCCTCAGTGTCGGCTGCAGGGGGAGAGTAATGATTTGAAGCTGGCCGTTAAAGCGGTAGACCACTTATACCTAGGAGAATTGCCAAGTCCTGAATTCCAACATTGGCAGAGAAGGGTCAAATGCCTTTCCTTCGCATTTGCTGTTACCCAACTGACATTGTTATATGCCATGTTAGTGAAAGTCAGGCAATAATCGCTCACGTGCTGATAAGAAACCCGAGGCGAAGCACGTGAGATACTCGGCTCGCTCACGTGAAGCTTTCCCAACTGGCATCACGACCGACTTGACGCTCAGTTGTTGTGCGCAAGGGGATCACTCGTCATGCTGTTCTTTCTCAAGCAGCGCTGCTTGCATCCTCAGCCCAGCGGTATCCTCCAGCAACCACAAGCGGCACTCTATGACCCATGGGTAAGAGCATGTAGAGGTGTCGCTGTGTTCGCCGCGTCACCGTTGTCTCGCAGCAAGGGCGCAGCAGGCATCCACCCTCAATATGAGAAAACTGGGACCTTTCACTCTTGTGTAGCATCAGTGATAGAAAAGTCGGAGCTGTGTCCGCTTCTGTACGTGAAGCCAGGTTCGCTGATGATGTTGCTCGTCCTCGAGGTCTGAAATTTGCATTTGGGGCGGTAGAAAGCCCCATGAGGCTCGAAACACGCCGAGCCCGGAGAAAATTACCGGGCAGGATGCAGCGTCATAGCCTGGAGGTTAACCAGAACCACCCCTGATTGGCTTCCCGCACGCTCTTTCCCAGCGACCGCGGGCCAAACGCGCCTGCTGCCAGAGGCAGAAGCACTGTCTATTCTGTATACCTGCGTCGTGAATTGCCATACCGCCGTCTCTCGACCACTTCGTCTCGAGCCTTGTCGTCTGTCTGTCGCGCCCGCGTGGCACCGAAGTGGTTGAACACGCAGAGCGGTCCGCAACAAAGACGCCTCCGGTGGGTTGGGTTTCCAAAGTCATTTCACCAAGCATCCACAAACTGCGCGAGCCGTGCTTGTCTTAAGTGTGATATGGTTACAGTGTTCCCCCGAGGAGCGCCTAGCTATAAATACTGGTCAGTCCCTACAACAGCCACTGCATTTGGGCGGATAACAGGTCCGGCCACCGCTGCCTTATTTGCTGCCACGGTTTTCTAGTGTCCCGACTACAATCAGCACTTCTTTTGCCATTGAAGTTGCGTGCTGCAACCATAAAGAGTCCAGTCACCGCTCAGAGACGGCCTCGGACTTGTAGCATGCAGCTACCAACGGATTTGTTCTGGCCACGACTCGCGAACGCCCGACACAAATCGCGGCATACCAGATGAATTCGTCCAAGTGCTCCCTCTCTCCATGTCCCAGCCTCTAGCCCCGCGGCCAACTCTGGCCGATGGCCCGTATGAGTCGTCCTCCTCCCAACGCCCTCGCAAGATCTCCACCGCGTGTGGTGCCTGCAAGCAACGTAAAACCAAGGTAAGCACGATGTTCATTCTGTCTCCCATATCGCTAAAGAAATGCAGTGTACGGGCGGCAACCCCTGCGGGGCGTGTGCAACGAGGAGAAGTCTCTGTGTCTACGATGCCACTTCCGACCAGCGTCGGAAAATCGCCAACCAACGGAACGTCCAAGAGCTCGCCGATAAGCAACTTGATCTTGAAAAACACCAGCAGCTGCTAGGAGGAATTATCGCCACCATCAGAGCGGGCGGGTTCAGCGCAACCGAAGACCTTATCCGTGTCATACGCTCAGATGTCGACCTGTCGCAACTAGCCGCCCACGTGCGAAACGAGTGTCGCGCCAATATGGCGATTCAGCAGGCTTTCGAGAAGATCGACTTTGTAATCGATGGAGGTCCCGAACTGCCGTCACCAACTCAGTTGCAAGTCATGCCGGGCGACTTGGGTCCCAAGGAGAACAGTCTCGGGTCCGAGGTCGACAGTGACACAAGCTCAGCGAATATGCATTCCAGCTCGGGCAAGAAACCGCGCATGGATAGACAGATTTCGTGAGGCGGGCATCAGAGTATTCGATCAGCCCCCGACGCAATCTCATGCGATAGGGTGTATGAAAAACTATGGCTACAAGTCGTTGGGCAAGTCGAAACACATCCGGCGCTGCAGGCAGCTCCCTTGGGAAAGGGAAGCCTGTGGGAGGCGCTTCAATAGCACTCGAGACAGCTACCGGAGCAACGTCCTCCGGTGATGCCTTGGTGAGCGCAGGCAGAGCAGCGTTGGAATCCAGGGTTTTTCTTGGTGTCTGGGGTCACAAAAGCTCATGGAAAGGCTAACCCGGTCATCTACAACGCCTAGGCCCGCGGCATGTGCAAGGAACCAAGAAAGAATCTCAGGCCTGGCCGGATAGCACGACAACGCACCATGAACGCATCACGGATGGGATAAGCGACAATATGTGCACAATCTCTATGATCACCGCTGTGATGCCCGTCTGACGTCGACCTCGGAAGTATCGACGCTGCAGCTCCCTGCAAATTTTACAGGGAGCGCTGGGGAGGCAGCAGTCGAGCAACTAACAGAGAGGCAGAGCCTGGAAATTGCATCCGGATGTATATTCGAAGTTCCCAGGCGGTGCCCACGCGATAGAGAAGAGGTGTCTGTCATTGGGAGAACAGGATTGAGCGATTACCGCAGGAAGCGTAGAGGCTCGACAGCACAGCACCGGCCAGAAGTATAAAAGATCAGATTCCTTATGACAACACAGTGTTGCCATTCTCGCAGCAACTTGGTGGCCTAGAGTGACTGTAAACGAAGGCTAATCCCAGGGCAGTAAGTTTGGTTCTTGACAGTGTTTGACGCCCCAGCTGAGACGGAACAACGGACCATGCATGCCCAGTAATTGGAATTCTCCAGTATGATGCCGATGAACGTTTTCGGCTATTACCGTGCCGATACTGGTGATACGCAAAATTACATGCGTCATTCACAAGCGAGCTCTCCACAGAACGACGCTCGTTGGATGCCCGCAAGCAAATCAATCAGTCAATCGCACCTCTGCCCTGCCACCGCCACCCCAGAAAAACTTCTCGGCCGGCAGAAAACAGAACAGCATCGAGCACCCGTGGGGACGCGAGAAGCCCTACGAGTTACGAGTTACGAGCTCCTGTGTTAAGTCTTGTAACCGGGTACGACTTCCCATGTGTTGGTGCGTGCATGCACCATGATGACACCGAAAAGGGGAATGATGTAGCCATGTCATGTCATATCATTGTCAATCCTTTTCGGGTGTACAAGTAGGTTCCCTGATTTTTGGGGGGGCGTGCGTCAACAGGTGCCTTGTGTGTACGAGTACCAAGGCGACGGGCGACGCCAGATGCGGCGATATACATGGTGATCCTTGGTCGGGATCTGCGCGGGTTGGGGAAAAGGAAAAAGAGGTTCGGTGGGATCCTGCAGCAGCTGCAGCATTCTTTGATCGGCTTCGCGTGCCATGGCGAGGGATGAGTCCGAGGGCGAGGGCGAGGGCGAGGGCGAGGTGAGTGCGAGGATGCGGTTTGCACTGTACACAGTACACCAGTGCATAAGGTAATCATGTGGGCTTGGGCTGTGTGTACCGCGTACTCATAGAGCTACGGGGGACCTCTACTCGTACAGTATATATTATATAGATAATCGGCAATATTGCTGATACAGTACGGAGTACCGTAGGTGTAGTCGAACTTTGGCTCCTACGCCGACACGACCGATCACGTCGGTGGGGAGACGTCGGTGTGAAGAGTATGTTATGTACTAGGTAAACATCTGCAGAAGAAAGGGAGCACGGAGGACGCGAACTCCCCGAAGCTCCACGTTCGAGTAATTAAATTACAGGTAGTCTCCTAGTGCCCCTCAAGTGGGGGTGAAATATACCTGGTATTTACTCGGTAGACAGTACGACAAAAGACAGGCACTGCGAATCTGCCACGCGCTGCCGTTTGCATGGATGGCACAGCACAGCACAACAGCATATAGCGCGGGGCAGCAAGGCACAGCACGACGCAGAACAGCACTCCGTAACTTTCCTTAGCGTTCAGGCCGCGAGGTCGAAGGAAACGTACCTACTCGCTGCTTGTACGAGTGGCGCGACTTAACGTTACAGTACGCCGTACTCAAGAGCCTGCGCGTGAGTATGACCGTCAGTATCAAAATTACTATCAATCTCAGCCTCAGCATCAGCATCAACACTCGGACGAGTTCTCCGTGGACGGAGCCAGAGTAGAGTTGAGCAAGTACATCCCATAACCCTCATACTGCGTTGATGGCGCTCGCATCTGCCGGCCAGCCGCCCGGATACTAACTCCAAGATGTGGCGACAGAGAAAGAGAAAGCCATGTCCCGGAGGATGAGATTTGCAGAATCCGATATCTGGGCTGAGTCCGAGCAGGGAGGGTGCCAAAACCACATGGCATAGATAGCATGGCACACCACAGCACGGCACGGCACTGCACATCCACACCTCCGTTGCGGACGGTGCTTATCGAAGCCTCGAGGACCACGGTCCCTTACTGTCGTCTGCGTTACAACCCGGTATTCACGACTCTGTGTGCCGCTCGACGCGGACGTCAAATGGAACTTTCTCTCCGCTCGGACGCATCTAAACGTGTGTTGTGGTGGACGACTGCGCCCCCAATAACACCATGTCGTGTACCCCTTACTCAGACCCTCTTCTTCCTGGCTTTCCAGTCAAGTCGTCTCTTTGCAAATTCATCTCCATTACGAAGGTCGACTCGCTGGAAGATACAGCCGCGAAATCTACTGTTGTGACATGGAAGTTCTGTTTCGGACAAGCAATATTCCCGCAGAGGGAAATTCTGCCAGATCATCGACGGATCGGGACACGGATACTACTGCCTGTGGGAACAGAGATCAGCAGTGAAATGTGAAATCTGGCCCGTGAAGTGCGAACCCTGCTTTTCGAAAGAATGGGCCAAGCGTCAAGTGCGGCGCGTCGAGGTAAACGGTTCGGGCTTCCTCTGAACTGCCGCAACCAACGGGTTTAATCCTTGGTCCCTCGATTATCCCACCTTTTTGAGCCGCACCCATCTGCATGGACGGACTTATTGATAACCACTGAGCCCGGAGATGCTGAGGCTGGAGATACCAATAAGGAGGTCATATCCCAGTGTGCTTACCGCTGGGTTGTCGTGCAAGACGGATAAGACGGCGGTGATCGAGGACGGCAGGGTAAGAAACCCTTGTGCGAGCTGCAGCGCCATATACCCGGAAATCACTGCCAGCGCCCACTTGGCTTGGTGTCGCGGGACATGGTTCGCTGAGGAGGAGACATCCTGGTGCTGGATACTAGCTCCCGAGCGTACGATTCGTGGTCGGAGAACGAGAAAGGGGGCAAAAAGGAGCGCCCTCGTGGCTAGGAGGACCCAGATGAACCAGCCGGACCCCACCGTGATAGAAGCAGTTGCGAGGACAGCGAAATATGTGCATACCAGCAGCACTTGCATCACTGCTGAAGGAGGGTCCAGCGCTCTCATCTCTGCATGTTTCTTATCATCCTGGAGGTGGACGGCAAGGAGAAACATATTTTGCGTGAACGACACGGGCAGGATCTGATCCAACAAGAAATATGCCCAAAGATGGGGGAAACTGTTACGGAAGCCTAGACGGCGCAAAAAATTGTGAGCACACCTTGATGTTTCATGGCGACGTGGTCGATTTACCTTCGATGGTCATGTATACATTCCACCCGAGAGAATAAGCCAAAGCCACGTTCGTCCACCAGAACCGATAAGGATCGTTGATGATGGATTCCGCAAAATCTCGAAAGAGCCGCGACTCGATCGACCATTTCCAGATCTTCGAAAAGGTGACATCGCTTAGGGATTCTGAGGGAGCCCACGACTGATATGACTGAATGAGGAAGTTCAACATGTGGTAAGATAGAACGGCGAAGCTGAGGGCCGAAAGAGCTGCAAGAATCGAGACCCGAGACTGTGTGCCGCGTTTTGTTCGTCCGCTGTCCCTCCTGGAGGCTTGGACGTCCTTCCTTTTCTGCCTCGAGAAGCAGTCGTACATGATGATCAAGTCCCGACATATCACCCCCGTCAGTACGAGCCCCGCAACAATGTAGGCGAAGAAAATCAACGCTCCCGCAACATTTTTGCTACCCTGAGTCGACATTCTTGCACGAATATTAACGTTTCTGTATAGGAAACTGGTAAGATCCTAACATCCTCATCATTGTCCATGATACTTCCGTGGGAGCGAGTCATGACGACCACATATGTCCAGACCCACTCGTTCCGGGAGTCGGAAATACTGATCATCCGAGGTATACTTCGAGACAGTGGAATACGACGACGAGCTCCATCAGTCTGCGGTTGGGTCCGGTCAGAGAGGATGGCGGCCTCATAGGATTGCACATTATCTAGGCCACAGCCTGTTCAGGGAAAAACGAGTGCCGTATTCAAAGTGCCGATAATGAGCCCACCAACAATACTCCTCAAGGGTGACGACGGGATGAGGCTGTGGAGATGATGATGCGTCGAAGCCTGGGCGATCTGTCCCCGGAGAACGGGTCAGGCTTTCCATCTTTCGAATGTGTGACTGCTCAAGAAATCTTTTGGCAGTCGAAGACTTGCGTAAGTTCTGTAATTGGCGTAACCTGTAGCGATGGTCTGCATAAGTACCAACTTCTAAAGGGCTTGCTCTACGCCCACGCAGTGATCCTCCCTCTTCTAAGGGTGACCACAGCTCGGGGGACAAAGAGGGATATGCATGGCAGAAATGATGGCCCATCGCGGCAGTGACGTGCATGTGCATCCGGGAGAGCGTATTTCTAGTCTGGTTTCGATCTTCATGATCACGTTCACCACTCCTTTGGACACTATCAATGCAGGCGGGAACTGTTTATACGTTGGCAGATATCAGGACGAGGAGATTCGCTTCGACGGAGTACGTGACTGGCGGGAGTGTGATAAGGGTCGTTCCAGTACTACTGTCATGTACACATTAGCACTGAAGCCTCATGCCACAATTCAAGGGAGTGACGAGTCAGAAAGGGTGACCCGCGAGGAACTAATATCGACCTGCAGCTGAATATGGTGCAGCGAGGTATACGCTGCTTCTCGCTGGCAACAGGTGCACATCCAGGGCAGCAATGAAGACTGCAAGCGCGACTTGGGAACAGGGGGTAGGAGCCTGGCGGGAGAAGACCGCAGGCCGGATTCCAATCAGGTTAGGCCTTGTCCATAGGGATATATGGAACTCTCTCCCGGAAAACGCTTCCGGGAGGAACGAAGAGCCGCGAGTCCGTGCATAAGCTTTCGTTTCTCTCTGCCTCGATTCTTTGCAAGTGTCTTTCTGGACTCGGCGAGGATGTTGAGCAGGTGCAATCGTGGGGAGGCTTCCTCGACATCTCGAGCGGTCGCCAGCTGAACCGGGTTTGAAGAAGCTGTTGGGCTCCAGACTTGCTCTCATCGCCAGGTAGGTCCAATCGCGACAATCAGTCGACTGACAAACCTTCAAGAGGCGCAGTCGACGCAGAAACCCACGACCGCCTTGGTCACCCTCTCACAACTCTCAAGATCCAGGCTCACGCCTTCCCGGCCTTGTCAGACTGTCGACCTCGGCCCTGCGATCCATTGGGCAGTTTGAGACTCCCTCAGCTCAACATCACAGACATGATTGTTCGTTCCTTTCAAGGTTATCAAGGGCTGGATGACCTGGCATATCCCTCCATGGCTGGAGCAAAAGACAAGTAGGTGTCTGCGAAGGGCACGATTTCCACCAGTGCGAGGACACATCTGCGCAGATGGTACACCCCTGCACGAGGAGGCAGCAGCCAGAAAAATGTTTGCATCAGAGGCAGGAAAGAAACCGACACGCCCGACACTGTGCTGGGTGGTGCGCTCAATGTAGGTGGTTCAACTGTGGACTTGACGAACAAACGTCGCTGCAACAATCTCTATGCCCCTGGCAGGACTATGTCTAGGCGCACCACCCACAAACTTGCTCCAGCTCGTTGTTGAGGTCCGGGACAGCCGAACAACTACGATGGGACCGTGGACGGATAGATTTGGCGCGAATCCAACCGTGGACTGTGTGATCAGGTCGACGCAACGGCATATCGACGATGTACGACGGTGATTTGTCGGAGGCGATATCCGCTTGTTACGATGGCGAAATACGCAAGACATCCACTTGTCAGGCAAAATTCTTTTTCCTCCCGCGTCTGCATCTGCATCGGGATCTGGATCTAGCCACGGCGAGGCTACGGTAGAGATGGTGCTCGTGCAGGCAATGCAGGGGTGACCTTGGGGCCCTGAACTCCGCTGCCGGCAAAATCACTGCCGACAGCTGCCCATGCCCGGGCCCGGTGATCGATCTTGCATCTCGGACCTTGCCGCATGTGGAAGCAGGTTTGAAGCTGTTGGCCGACTAAAGTTATGAGTGTTGAAGGAAGGATGCAGGTTCGAGATCTCGTTGGTCTCTGATGAGGCTAGAACGAAAGGCTCGAGCGCTCATGATTCCTTAGCAAAGCCTGATGGCTGTCATGGCAAGCTTGACCCGTGACGCCTGTCACATGGAAGCAAGCGAGAGTGGCGGCAACTTCCCGGAGATGAAAGCTATCGTACGAGACCGAATAAGTACCAAGTACCAAGTACCGAGCACCAAGTATTACGGCAGACCTACCTGCTCGACCGAGATGCCATTTCTTCAACGACCATCCACAATGCACGAATTACGCCCCAGTCACGCTACCCAGCACCTTGAAACCTCGGAGATACGTCATCAAGAAGATAGAGGGACAAATGAACGAGACGTACGCCCTACATACAGGGACGGCTTGAGTGGAACGTACACCGAAGATACAAAGACAAGTTGAACGGGACGCGCGCTGAGGATAAAAGGACGAATTGAATGAGACACCTGTTGAAGAAAGGGAAAGGTGAGTGGGACGCACGCTGTGCTGAGCCTAACTACAGCTATTGTACAGTGACGCCTGCCCCGCGCAAAATGCTCGCCTATGGACATGCCTTTGAACACGCCTATGGATATGCTTGTGAACGCCAGTGTACTGTGTACACATCTACCTTCCTTCCAACCAGAATCATTTTCTGATTAGAACTTCTCGCCAAGGCCATACCAGCCGCTGGTGCTGGTGTTTGTCAAACACAGTCGCAGCCCGTGTGCCATGTTTGTGCCTTTAGCTTCAGCGCCGACCTGCTGCTGTTGTTGCTGATGCTGTTACTGCCTCCGATGCCTTCCTGGTCTCCTGCCACTTCTGGCTCGTGACCTTCAAATATCCAGACCCCCAGCTCTCCGCACCGAAGGACCGATCTCGCCGGCCGCCATCTCTACCGAGAACTTTCTGTCGAGTGTCGGGGGAAGTGCATCAACTCTCGACTTGCGTCGCTCGTCCTGTCCACAATTAGTGGCATGCACGGTACGTGTGGTTTTCAGAGTACGGAGGTCCCTCGAGCACCAGGCACAGACGTTCCTACTCCTGGAATATATCACTGATGCGTCGCACGGTGGTTCGGACACGCACCCCAGGCAGCACAGGCACTGGAAGCCCCGCTGGACCAAGGCCTCAAATTCCTGGTCCACGTTGACCTCGTCGTCCTTCTTCTCCACCGTGCTCTGATGTGGCATAGTGTGAGATGGGACCTCACGACACGCAGACAGGAGAGACCAAGGGCCGGCTCGCACAGTCTAGGACTTCTTGACTTTGTCTGACGTGCGGATCTTTGCCGGAGGAGTCCTTCACGCTGGTGACGTTAGTAGTGAATGGTGATTCGGGGGAATGAAATGGTGAAGCTGTGTATGGATCTGGTGTGATACCAGCCGTGATGGACAGACTATGGGGTCAGTGAACCTTGCTTGTGACTGAATCCGATGTGACTTTGTCGTGACTGACCGCGTTATAGGGTCAATGAGGCTTAGCTTGTGAATGAATCTGATCTGATCTGATCTCGTCGCGTTGTCTCGAGTGGGAAGGTGGCGATGGAGGATCGATCGAAGTCCAGGGCTCAACCAGCCATATTTATGCTCGAGACAGAGATGCCGCGAAGCGACAGCAGGGACGTGCTGTGATATGGGAGCGAACGCACGGGAACCGCTTCTGTGCTGCAGCATCATCACCAGCATCGCGAAGTATTGAGGGGTGGTACGGAGTAGACTAGACGACCTTTATCTCCAGAAACAGCGTCGTGGAGAGAGAGAACAACGCCTCGTTGTTGGGGCGAGGTGTTCCCCAGACAGCATAAGTCTCATTTCGAATCATTGTGCTGCCCATGTCTCACGTCCAGACATGGAAAGACAACGACGTCCAACTCATACAAGACTCGGCATAAAGAAACGACACGACCGAGAAAGAAAAGAACAGGTCGAAGCATGGCGCGCTCAGGGTTGCGGAAGACAGCAACGAGGAGGATCAGATGACATGGTCTTGGTTCACGACAATGGACAATCACTTCTCATCATCGCAGACTTGAGTGTCTTTCTGGTGATAGGAACGTGGGCTTCATTGACTGCTAGCATAGGGTTTCAGACACCCAATCCCAAACACTGGGCCAGATTAACTGTCAATGAAAATATCAAAACGACATGTCAGAAGTTCGTCACCAAGACCACGGCTGAGTACAGTATGACCGTGAGGTCGTGAAATCCATACCAGTAACTCCGCTGGAAATCCCAAGTCGAGACCAAGTCGAGACCCCGATAAGAGAGTACGCCGTCCATCCCAAAGCAGAAAGACAACCATAAGAACAATCCTCTCACAAAGTAGAAATAATCCAATCTCCAAGAAATGGCTGGTTCCTGGAATGCCTTGAGCGACCGGGACACTCATGGAATGCCGACTGTTGCGGGCTATCGGTAGCAGTGCTGTGTTGGGACGTCTCGGTGGCGTCACTCATAAGGTGAACGTGGCTGGTACTGCTACTGCTGCTGTTGCTGTCCAGCCTGGTCGATCTGGTCTTGGTCATCGTCGGAGGAGATTGACAGGGAACCGGATCGAGGGCTATAGAAGAGTCTCTCATCATTGACAACTTGTCCTCCATCATGCCCGAGCCATGTTGCGTTGTCTGCATCTGCGACCGAGTTCCAGGCCTGCTCACCATGACAATGTATACTTCCGATACCTTGAAGATCGTCTGAGATATTACGTGCAGGCC